AGCACACAGGATCTAGGAATTTTAACTTTTTTAGATTTTAACTTTCACTTATTTTTAACTTGTACTTAAATTTTAACTTTAAACTTTTTACTGATTTTATATTGTAACTTATTTATAAGCAATTTATTTGATAGATGTATATTTTTTTTTTAAGCTTTTATCGATTTTATATTTTAACTATAACACTATTTAACACTTAATTTTATAGTTTTTAACTTTGTATTTATTTATTTATTTAATTATGCACAGATTGTTTCAATCATGCGCGTGGTGGGCATAGTCTAGAACGAAAAAAAAAAATATTGCAATGAACAAAATACCAACGAAGAAGATCGAAGTTGGACAAAAGGTATGGGTTCTGAGAACTGGAGGACCTGTTCAAGAGGCGGTTGTTGCCTCTGTGATGTCTGTGGCTACTGCAGGAGGCGGAGATAATAAATTTGTTAAAGTGGAATGGCCTGACACAGAAGGTGTGGTATTGGGAAAGACGGTGTCGATAGATGATGTCTTTCCCAGATTGCCAAATGATCCGCTGAATGTCGCAGAGGTACTTAGTGAGCGGCAAAATGAAGCTCTACGCCCTGATGATAAAGTTTGTCCGATATGCGGGCTTTCTTTTAAGGGCGAACGAGGTCTCGGAACCCACATTGCAAAAAAACATCCCAGGGAGGCGAATAATAATACATTGAGGGGCATAGTAAAGAACGTGATAGATCCTAGAAATGGAGAGGGTGAGTCATCAAAAATAAAAGAGGACATTGTTGAATGGTCTACTACGTTCAAGAACCTTTTAAAGCAAGAAATGGTGAATACTGCGGATTTTGATGAGGCCGTAGGCAAGTTCCTAAAGTTCCTCAAAGTCATTAATGCGGAACTGCCAGGTCCCCAGCACCCAGCCGTAAAATTTTATAGGATGAGGAAAAAAAATAAAATGAAAATGGCTGACAAGGGTGCTGGACAAGTCTCAAATCCGCAGAGGGCAAACAAAGTAGACAGGAGTCGTCGGCAAGAGCAGTATCAGTACGAGGTTGCCCAATATAATTATTATAATAAAAGAAAAAAGGTTGTGCAAACTGTAATGAATGCCGACGCTCCTAAACGGTGTCCTCTAAAAATGGCCGATATCGAGAAGCATTATAAAGACCTCTTTGAGAACGAAAATCTCTGCGGGCGTGCGGATTACGAACAGTGTACCCCGATGCCGGATTTGCTGTCCATTGAGATAGAAGCTATCAGGAAAGCCATTAAATCAACATCAATGGACACATCGCCGGGGCCTGATGGAGTTCTGATCCGCACAATAAAATATTTTGAGGTATCAAGCATTATTAAAACGATTGCAGAGATAATGCTGAAGGTGGCCTATGTTCCGGAACCACTTCGACAAGGGCGCACAATATTGATATATAAGGGCAAAGGTGATATAAACAATATCTCTACCTGGAGACCGATCACCATATACTCGATTGTGCGCCGAATCATAGAGAAGGTTCTGGACTACGAGTTAAGAAAGCAGGTCACCTTCCACAAGAGTCAGAGAGGCTTTATAAAAGGCCTCCCGGGAACGCACGTCAACGCGAGGATCATCGACGCGGTATTAAAAGATGCACAAAAAATGAAAAATGACTGTGCGATAGTTTTCCTCGACGTTGTCGGTGCTTTTGACAATGTTGGGCACAAACACATCGTAAGCTCCTTAGAAGCGAGAGGTGTGTCACCGAATCTTACAAATGTCATATCAGCTCTCCTTAGCACGAACACCATAAAGATTGGCAACGGTGTCCATGCAACTAGCCAGATCAAAGTGCTGCGCGGTGTACCCCAAGGTGGCCCCCTGTCGTCTTCACTCTTCAACCTGGCCATCGATCATCTCTACCGCGACCTGTGTGACGAGGACTTTTCCAAGAAATTTGGATACAAATTAAGGAATGAGCAAGATTGTGTGGTCCTCACAGGTTTCGCGGATGACCAGGCAGTGTCGGCGCGTGACAAGGGGGCTGCAGAAAGAGTGATTGACAGCATACAAAGAACATTTAAAGAAATTGGTCTGGCTATAAATCCTCTAAAAAGTATGGGCATCGTTATAAATAAAGGAGAGCTGGAAACTACGGTGCTCTCCCTTGAGAATGGTGAGTACATCCAAACATTGAAGAATGGAGATACGATTAAGTATTTAGGATGTACATTCTCGGGAGAGCTGCAATTCAACGAAGATTCGGTGACTAAATTGAATGATAATCTAAACAAGCTGGTAACCTCTTGCTTACTTAAACCTGAGCAGAAACTCAACATTGTCAATCAATATCTGTTCCCGGGTCTTACTTACCCTCTCCAAACTGCGCCCCTAACAAAGCTACGTCCTGCTATACTGGAGGGCATCGACACTATGATTCGCAGGAGCGTAAAGGCCATTATTGGACTGCCTGCGAATACTTCCACAGCGATGTTGTATGCCCCCAGGAGATACCGAGGATTGGGATTAATCCGCTGCCAATGGGAGGCTCCTCTTCAACATTGGTCCATTGCTCAGCGACTGTCCAATGTACCAGATGCCCTTTTTCAGTCTACCTTCGATTATTCGGCTGAAATTGCTGAATGTGCCGAGAGATTGGGGGTTGATCAGGGTCATCGAAATGTGAAAGCTCTACGGCAGTCGCTACGAGAAAATGCATTTGAGGAATGGGCCAACTGCAGGTGGCAGGGTATTGGTGTTCGCCATTTTAAAGAGACCCCGAAAGCGAATAGATACATCTACGAAAAGCAAGTACTTTCTGGGTCTGAATGGTCGAATGCCCTAAAACTAAACATTAATTATGCACCCCTGCGTGGAGTCCCAGGAGTCAGCGGACAGGTCAGAGAAGTTGGGTCCCTCTGCCGTAAATGCGGCAGAGAGTCTGAAACACCAGCACATGTGCTGGGAAAATGCCCCAACAACTCCCTCCTCATAACACGTCGTCACCACCGGGTCAAGTTCGAATTGATGAGGCTCCTTAGGGAAAAAAAATTCACCTGCTTTGACGAGGTATATTGCATCGATAGTGAGGGCTCTACGAGATACGCTGATATCGTCGCATTTCCCAAGACAGGAAGGACAGCGCTGATCTTGGATCCAACTGTCCGCTTTGAGAGCAATGACCTCGATCAGGCGGGTGAAGTGGAAAGGGAAAAGAAGAACACGTACGATAAATGTATCCCTTTCCTAAAAGAGAAATTCCGTGAGACCTTCGGAGAGAGAGAGTTCACCGTGAGAGGCCTCTGGTTTGGGTCTCGCGGAACTATCCCAAAAAGAACAAGGAGCTTCCTCGAGGAACTAGGTGTCGACATTAAGGACGTAGCGAGGTTGGCTGAAAATATAGTCCTCGACTCCCTGGGAATCATTCACCACCACGTGCATGGCTAGCCCGAGAGTTTTAATTTATGTATTTGTTTATTTATTTTTTTAGTGAATAATTGAAAACAATAGCGATAAAGAGAGAGAAGTGAGAGAAAGGGAAACTTAATGTTAAATAAAAAAAAAAAAAAAAAAAAAAAAGCATGAACAATGAGAAGAGGGAAAAAGGAAAAAAAAAAAAAAAATTATAAGGATAAATAAAATAATAAAAATGTATATATATATATATTTCTGTTTTACTAATATTAACTAATACTTCTGTATATTTATATATAAGTTCATATATTGTCTTAAGGATAGAAGAGTATGCTGTGTGTATAGCAACCCAATGTAATTGGGCAGCAATCCTTTATATTTTATATTTTATGAAAATAAAGTGTTTCTCTCTCTCACTATGCGACAAATCACAGAGAAGATTGTCGAGAGGGGAAAGAAACTCTCAGTGTGCTTTGTAGATCTCTGCAAAACCTTTGACCGGATTAGGAAAAAGGATATAATTGAGGTTCTAGAGGAAAATGTGTAAATAATGGACTTATAAGGGCCATAAGCAGTTTATACGGAAATACAAGGAATCTTGTTAGAACAAGAAGCCATACCTCTCGAGAGTTCAAAACAACACTGGGCATACGACAGGAAATGAGAAGGAATGCATAGGAATGTAGGATTGCACTATGAATTGTACTCAATTATGCAGTGGATAAGTTGTTTATGGAAAAGTATCAAATTAATTAACAAACGATGAAAGAGGACACTAGTTGAACAAAGAAAGGAATAAGCCTGAAAAGGGCCGATAGATGGCGGCAGCTGAAGAAGGATGCTGAGAAAAGAAAAGTCTGTATTCAGTGCCGGGATTTTGCTTTAAGAAAATTAAATTCAAGAGTGTAAATAACCTAGTCTCCGGTGCAGAAGGAATATTTACAATTCCCACCAAAAGGAATATTTACAATTAATCCTTAAGAAGTTATTTACAGCCGCTGAATCCTGCGTTTCTTGGTTTTGATCCCACTTCACTCTTCACCCTCCCATTTTTCTCTTTCTTGATCTACTCTTTATCAACTCAAAAATTTCCAGATCTGCTGGTTCTCCATCATGCAGTTCCTTCATTTGTCTAATTTCTTTAGAGGGCCGTCGTCTGCTGGTCGTTCCTCCTGTTTCTTCCTGGTCAGCTGAGCCATAACGCCAGGTACTGCTGTTTCTAATGTCTAAAATGTTTTATTAAAATTAATATAACACAAATTTTGTTTCATAGTTTTTGTACTTGATTGTTTTTTTAAATGAAGATTCTGTGTAATTGGTTATGCCATATTTAAACCTTAATACATCATCAGAAAAGTTCTCAAACATCTAAAACTTTCATTGGAAACTTCAAGTATCTTTGGGTATTTTATATAGTCTGAGTGCAAGTCATAAATTAATTGAAATGATGGAATATCACCCTTTACTTATTCATGGCTCATAAATAGTTTAGTATTATTACTAAGTACTTTACCTTTTTAATGTGATGATCAAGAGGAGTAGTGAAGAGAGTTGATCTACAGATCCCATCTTTTATAACACATACAGGGTTGGGTTTTAAGAAATCAAAGGCAGTTTTGTTATCGAAAGGTATAACACTCACTGATTCAATACCAACTTCACCAATATTACCAAGCTAAAAAAAATTTTTCAATGATTAGGTGACATTTTTTTTTTAAATTTTATATTTTAAAATAAACTTTTCCATTATGTTGGGAGCGGGGTAGCTCTGTGGTAGGGCACTAAGCTTCTAATGCTCAAGGTTCCAGATTCGAATCTTGGCTCATGGCAGACAAATTATTTATTCTGTTTCATTGGCCGTGGGGCTTCCCTGAGGTATGGAGACCCTCCTGGGGAACACCCAGCCTCTACAAAGTGGGTACCCTTAATTAAATAACTGATTAAGGGAGAAAACTGTTGAGTGTGATTCTGGCCTGATCCCCTCTCTGCACAACCGCTGGCCTTGTAACAGTACTTTCCCTAAATAGTACTGAATCCAAGATCCTCATGGGTTGCAGTGGTACGTTTTTTTTGTTTTTTTTATTATGTTCAGAGAGTTTTAATTTGGAGCCAAATAGAGATAGTTCTTGGATTGAGCAAGCTAAGGAAGATTTTTCTGAATCCGATAAGGCCTACTAATATTCTTCTTAAAAAAATATCTAGCAATAAATAAATAGTAACTAATATTAAACTAATTAAACACTGTAGAGATTTCAAATAACATCTAAAATATTAGTATGTTATTGAAAGCTTTAGTTAAATTAGTATTATTATATTACAAAAATTTAAGAAGATAAAAATACCTCAAGTGTGACTGTTAGAAAATCATCATTAATGTTGAAAACAGCTATTTTCCCATCATTATCAAGAAACGCATAACGACATAGCCAAGTAAAAGGACAAGGAGAAAGCATAAGATGCCCTAAGTACTTTGTGCTATCTCCTTCTATTTCAATTTTAATACTCGATGTTGCATTACCATCTTCAGGGGTTCCATAATTAATTATTATGAATGAAGGTCCTTTATTTTCTGTTCGAACTTCAAAACTCAATTCCTTCTGCAGAGGTGTCAGCATGGGCAAATCCTCTACATTAGAGCCTGCCTGTAAAAAAAGTAAAATAATGCACATGCTAAAAATTCATAACTATACAAGGTATTAATAAATAAGGTAGCAAAAAGGTGAGACTAGATATCACAAATTAGTCATGCTGCAGAGTTAATTTTAGATTATAATTGCAACTAATATCTCTCCAAGTATTTCTAAGAGTATATTATATAATTTTATAAGATAGACTTGTGAATTTCAATAAATAAGTAAGATAGAATAGATTATAAAACTAATAATTACCTTTATTTGTGATAATAATTAAATAAATAAACAGTGTTAGATTTCAAAGGAATTGCTTACATAGCTCTTGTATTTTTTTTTCATGTAACAATTAATTATGAAGCTAATAATTTTTTCTTCTGTTTTTGATTTCAATTTTTCCTATATTTTAAACTATTTTTATGTACACGATTTTTTTTTTTAACTTATTAATTTAAATCTTTTTCACAAATTATTTATAACAAGTCTTTGAGTAGAAGAAGATAGATGTTATTTATTCATAAAAAATACCACTCATACATTATTTAATCCAAAATATTATTACTACATTATAACAAAACAATTCAGTATCTTAAATATTTATTTAATAAATATGAAATTACCAAGTGAGCATTCCACTCCATTAAATCAGATGGCGGTTCCCTACCATTTTGAGTAATCAGGAACGCTTTGTTTCCATAAGCTGTATCATACTTTTCAATCCTTGGGTAAGCATAATGTTTGCATAAAGATTTGTAACCTTTTTTACAAGGTTCTCTCACAGCATAATCAATAAGAACATTACCTTCAAAATACGACTGAGGGAGTAATACAAAATAATCCTAAAAATAAAAATAAAATAAATTAAAAAAAAAAATTGATTGAGAAAGGAAAACTAAAATTAATCTTATTTATGTTCGTTTCACTTGTTTGACAATGATGAAATAAATAAAACGGTTATTTCAGAAACAACATTTTTTAAATTTTAAAACCATGAAAAAAACTATCACATACTGAAATATTCATTAATAACAATAAAAAAATACTATTAATACAAAAAATATATTGTGTAAACAATCAATCTTTGCACTATGTATATAATCTGTTTCCTTTTATTAAAAATGAGTCTATGATCCATGTATGCAGAACTAAGTCCCACATTTTAATGTTTTAACCTTCAGGATGCATTATCTGCAGTGTGTATTAGGAATTCTAATAGCCTAATTTTACTTGCGACATCTGATATTTATCACATTTTCCATGAATGATCATTAGACTGTCATTTTATAGAAATTTGTTTTCTTAATGCATTTGGATAATCGTTACCAGCAAAAATCACAGAAAACTTTCGAAATTTTGTAAATCTGTACTTTTAAATATATCAAGTAAACCTAACCCTAATATTAAATCAACATATTGCTGCATAATTTTGTAAAAGTTAATTAATTTTGTAAAAAATACTTATTAATATTTAGTTTAGTTTTACATGTGTATACAAAAAGCAATGTACTCACGACAAACAATGTACTGTTAACAATGAACTCCATATCCCACTTTCCCTGCGAAGTTGTGACAAGTGGTATAGGTATTGTGGACTTTCCAGCACCGGTGGCAATGGCGAAGGCGGGTTGAGAAGATGGCTTAAAATAAATCTTACTTTCTAATGGGTCTTCATCCTCATGTCTGGCACGAATAATACCGACAACTGTCTCATCATTTCGATTAACGTATCTCATTATGACATAATGGATTGTATCTGCATTGATATCTACTTGATATTTTATAACATTCTGAAAAATAAAATATTCAGATATATAAAATAATAAACATATCATTTGGTATTAAGTTTTACATTCTTAAATCTATAATTGATCAAAATTTTAATTCACTGATTATCAACAAAATTATGAAGATGCAAATCAATCATGAAGGACATTAATTAAAAGAATTATCTATCAGATCAAAAAAATTATTTAATAATTTATTAATTTTTTATCCAATAATAAACAAATAATTAAAAATGTTCATTTAATTCTATTAATAAAGCCAATAAAAGTTCTTACCTGAGTTGAACTAAAAACTGCATAACCTCTCCAAGAAAATCCAGGAAAAACAGATTCTTCATATGCAAAACTCACAGGATCTCCTGGATAACCAGGGGTAAAACCATCTTCGAGCTCATATTGGAATTGATAAAGTGTAGGAAAATAATGTTGTCGCATGGGTACATTACAACTTCTTCCTTCTATTCTTGGCCTACATGTGCAAGCTCCCGTTTCTTTGTTACAATTAGAATCCAAAGCTCCACCAATGTCACAGTTGCAATCTAATAATTAAAACAATTTGCTTTAATTTAAAAACAATACTTTAATATAATTTTTAAAATGTTATTATAACAATATGTACATTTACAGATTTAATTTAAATCTGTCTAGAAATCAATGTCAAACTATCAAATGTTTAGAAATCGTAATTGAATAAAATAAGATGAATGTAAGTTGAAAAAAAAAGAGATTAGTTTTTATATTTATCACTATATTATCAACTATTATAAAAATCATTTTACAAATGCTAAAAAAATATAAAAACTGCAGCAAGTAACTTGGATTTCAATATCAGAAATTAAATAACAATATTCTGAAAATGAACAAATAGTATTATGCCTGTTGAGGATGGTAAAAACATCAAAGGTCAAAAGTAGCAGTTTTATCAGAAAGCCAATTGAATGAATAGTAGTTTACAATAAATCAGTATTTCTCTAGATCACTTTACATGAAATTTAATGACCTTCCACTTCATTTATACTTCCTGTTAAGAAATCAAAATAACGGATGTATTGTGGAAGAATGAGCCTGATAATAAAACGTAACCAATAATTTTAGAATAGTGAATGATTTTTTTTTTTTTTTCTGTTCACATTACTGACCATATAGATCTTTTGCCGCTTTAACAAGCCTGCTCCATCTTTGCCTGTCTTGGACTATTTTTTCCATTTCTCTGCATGCAGCCCTATTCATAGTGAATAGATTACCTGTTTAAATGTGATAAATATTTAGGCAGTATTGTTTTCAAAATTTTAAATTTCATGACATTGATATGGACTGCTCCTAGATGACTTAGTGCAAGGATAAATGATAGGATTAATTAAAAAAAATGTTCAACCTTTTTTTAAAACTTTTAAAGGTGCTATCAAAAATAAATGATGGTGCCATATTCAACTATATAGTCTGCTATACAGACCTCTTTTTATCAAATTATTAATACTCCTCTAAATCTTCGTGAATGGCTTCTTTATATCATAATCTACAACATTTTTATTTATGAAAATGGGGCATTCTCAATCTGGAGATTGGTAAACTTTGTCAATGAGGTACTCAAAACTCATGAAAACCATTTGCTTTCCACTTAAATTTTAAGATAATTTGATAATAAAATTGAGAAAATAGGTGTACCATTTGGCTTGACCTCCACCCTGAACATATCAAAATTAATTTTTGAGAATGACAAAAATAAAGATTTCTTTGACATATAGAATTTCAGACAACTATAATTTTATGTTTACATAACTAATTATGGAATCATAGTTCTCATATATTTACCTGTACAACCAAATAAATTATCTCCTTGAAGATTATACGATCCATCAACACAAGTATCACAACCTCTTGATTCCACATTTTCTTTACATAGACATTGGCCTGATTTTGAATCACAAACACCTACCCCTCCGATAATACCATCAGCATTGCAATTGCATTCTAAACATAAAATAAAATATACATATGTAAAAAATAAAATAACCTCTACAATATTTTATAAATGGTATTTGGTGGCTGGCTGTGTATAAAAAGCAACAATTTCTTAGAAAGGGATCTGTCAGAAATGCCTGTCAAGTAGTGACTGGAGATGGGCTGTTCTGACCATCAGAATGGCTCATTCCATACTATCACAGGAACAGGTTCCATTTTTTATTCTGTTCCATCTTCATTCTGACCTCAGGATAAGATATTTTGGCCAATGATTTTTGTTCCATTCCATTTTCATTTCAACCACATTATGGAAATTTATCATGAGATTGTTTATCATATAAATGTTGAGCTAAGGGATGATGAAGATGTGCATTTAATTTTGAGACATAGATTATCAAAAGATCTTCCCACCTCATCCTTAAAGATGGCTCTACAGACTTGGCACAGATACCTTCGACTGGAAATGTTCTGAAAGTTTCTGTGCAAATTCTAAGAGTTCAATTTAGACAGAATCTAACATAATAAATATAATAAGGAATAAATATAACATAACAGCTTTTTACAGCCTTTACCATAGATTTGAGCTTCATATTCAATTTTATTTCCTATTACATTCTGCGAAAATTTTTAGAGAGCATGTCTATCAGCTACCAAGCTTGGATGTCAGATGTGCTTTAGAATAACTAGCCTTTTTGTGCATTTGTTGCTTAAACATGGTAAAGAGACAAAAAAGAATGAAAAGGAAATTAAAAATAATTTGTAAAACTTTCAATATTTTTTGTTTTATTGATCAACAGTTATTTGATTAAGATAATTAAGTTTGCATCTTTCTGGATATTGTCATCTTAGTGTTCTATTAGGATTTAAAATTTTAATTGTATAATCACGAGTAATTCAATTATATTTTAATCTAATTGAGTTATTAATTTATTTAGATAAATCTACTTCTGAAGTGAGTAACCCATTCCATGAATTACCTGCAGAGGCTCTCCCTGAATTTCTATAAATATCTTTTTTAATAATTTTTAACATAAATAAACCAAAATTCAATTTTCATCCAAACATTAGTCATTAAGAGGATTATGAAAAATTTACTTTCACAACAAAAAAAAAGATCACTAATAGCAATAAATAATTTAATTATTCTTGTTGTTACCAGTTATGTAATTGTCAATTTAGTTCCATGTGAGAGATTCGAAATGTGACATGTTTACTGACAAAAATCAAAATTGATTATCAACTGATAAAACCAAAAATCTTTTGTTTTTAAATTCAAATTTTTGAATTATTATTATAATATTTATCTATTTTTGAGTCTGGACTCATTTTTGGTCGGTTGGTTACTTTGATGGCCCAAAACATCTCGGTTATCACTTCCCAATCTATGAAATAATACTACTAGTATTATAATTAACTAGTAGGACAATTAAAATAAATAAACCAATAATAATAAAAATCTAAAAACAATAAACAGGAAACATTTTTATATAATTTTTTTTTTTTGGTTTTTATATAATTCAGAGTAATAAAATTCATTTTTAGTAAGTAAAGTTTATAATCTTGAGTAATTATTTTTTCTTGATAGGCACATGACACATTACTCACATAATTAAGGGAAAATATTAAAAAAAGAATTTCTTTTTCCTTATTACCTTACTTCTTAAAAATACAATATAATTAATTTAAGACTTACAAACTAAAACTGTAAATATGTATTACAATTTGAATAGATGGATGCTAGAAAGAAATCTGATTAGAAATAAAAAATGGAATGGAACCAAATATAAAAAGTTCATAATGATGTACAGATGGTTGACCGTTGATATAATATGAGAAGGAGTTAGTCGAGGGTGCGGTCAAATAAATAAAAAATTAAAATATATTAATTATTTTAAGTTTCGACCTACTTTGCAGGTCGTCTTCAGGGCTTTAATTGTAAATAAATAGATAACGGGACTAAAGGTTAAGAAGTCAAGTACTTCTTAACCTTTAGTCCCGTTACTAACCTTTAAGCCCTGAAGACGACCTGCAAAGTGGGTCGAAACGTCGGCAAAAATTAAAATAATTAATATATTTTAATTTTTTATTTATTTGACAGTACCCTCGACTAACTCCTTCTCATAAAAAGTTCATATTCCAATCTTAGATTACAATCCGTCAGAATGAATACTCTTCTAGTTCTATTCTGAATTATTCTTGTCTGGTGGTGAAACCGGTCTTAACCAATGGTTCTGTCCAGAACAGGCTATCTGTTACCTAGAGGCAATTATTTTAATTATGCAATTCTGACAATTAGAATTACTAATAGGGCCATCGTGGTCGAGTGAATTAAGGCGCCTGCAAACATTTTATAACAAGTGTTCATATCCCGTTTGCAGGAATATAATAACAAAAAAATAATAATTTATAATAAATTAAAATAATTAAGTGTAGGTCCCCTACTCAACTACTTAGACCACTATGGTATGGGTTCAACTCCCGCATGGAGACGGTAACTTCCCCACCCTGATAGGGAGGTGAGCGACCCCTAGACCCCAATCTTAAACCATAGCTCCTGATCCTCCAGGTTGGGTGTTGGGTATAGGGCTGATAATCCCCTATCTTATAAAAAACTGAATGGAAGATTGAAGCAAAAAATTGCCAACCAACCTGCAGGAAATTCCTGATGAAGAGGGAGTGAAATGTGATTGCGCCCGGTTAGTAAACCACGCGCTCCCTGGATATCTCAAAGAAGAGAGAACAAAATGATCACTACTGTTACCTATAACAGCCCCAAGCAGTTGAAGAAGACTCATGTCTTAAAAAGTCAAAGTCAACAGGCGTAGGAAAAAAAAATATATATATATTTATATATTATAATTATCTGAATTTTTTTTCTTCGCATGTATCACTATGTAACAAAAAAAATGTTTGCCAAGTAACGTCAGTATAACTTCCTTCCAACTTCTCTTAGGTACCTAACTATCTATCAATGATTTCCATGAAATCTAATAATTTAAGAAATTTTTGAACACATGTAGAGGATAAAAATGCAACCTAAAAATCACATTAGTAAACCAGTAAGGTAGAAAACTAGTGAGTCTGGATCTCATAGAACAATTATGTTTGTTAGAAAGTTAATATCAATAAATTTTTAAGCAATGAACTTAAAGTGATAATGTTTTAAGAAAGTAAATTATTGTCAAATAACGACAAACATCATATTTTCTTCAGGAAAAAAATAATAATACCTTCACAGCCCAAAGGGTTATAATACTGCAAATTCCAATACAATGGTTTACATTCTTTGCATTTACGGCCAGTAACTCTTGATTTGCACTGACATAATTCTCCCACTTTTGAAAGTGTTCCACAGTCAGATGAATTAGGCAAGACACCAGCAGGATCACAATCACATTCTGTAATAACACAAGATAATTGTTAATGAAACAATATTAATCAAGATGACTTTATTTCTGATCAAAATAAATAAAATTAATAACAGAAGTTGTTTTGAAAAATTTGTTTAAAAAAAAAATCTCATAAATTGCATTATCACTTTTGGTGAATCATGTATAAAAACCAAAAATTGAAACTCAGCAAATAACTATCACAGATATATACCAAAATAGTTATGATCTGTGATCTGAAATGGATAGATAAAATGATGAAATATATGAGCCATTTATTTTGAAAGCGGCCTAAGTCCATTTATACTTAAACTGAGATATTTAAGGGTCTGTGTTTCAATGTAATTATTAAAAATATACGTACAGGATACTAATGAGTCATACCACTTAAGTGTACCTAAAGGAGTGTACCTAAAGTTATAGTTCCTATTAAAATAATGAAAATTATTAAGTGAATAATAAGCATTTTCTTACTAGGAATGGAGTTATGCCACTTTCAAAATTAACAACACGATTCGTTATAAAATTTGAAGGAGCCCAAGTCCATTCAACATAACTTAAGATGCTTCAAATTGAAAAAATAAAATACTAAATTTATTTTATATATCTTTACAACACTTCCAAAACATAATTTATGTGATTCAAAACATTTTTTAACTACAAAACAATTTAGTGGTCATATACATTTTGTGGGTGTGAAAGGGATTTGAAGAAATGATGTTCCGGTGGTATATATTGTAGTAGGTCCAGTATGTCCTTGAATTTTGAAAAAAATGTTTCATCAATCTTTTCTCTATTGTTATTCTCTGATGATCAAAATTGATCTATAATTCTCTTTCTTTTCGATTTTCTTGAAATCATGAGTAACTAATTCTTCTTCACTATCTGAACTAAATGGCCTTGTCATTTTGTTCAATCCCATGACTGAAATAATGTCTAAAATTTAATATTAAATTTTTAGTTTTATATTAAATTTACGCAATATACATACTTACAGTTAAATTTTAACTGTATATAGTATATTGCATTTTTTTTTTAACTGCTTAATTAAATGTACTGATTATTCAACTATAGCAATTGTCCTAAAACTGAGGTAAAATTGTTAAATACTAATTAATTAAAATTACCTTTATCAGTAGCTTTAGAAAATATAATTCATAATTCATTATAAACTGACTTAGGCCACTTTGAAAGTTAACGGATCAATTATTGAACTAACTCTGAAAACTTATGTGTCCAAAATTATCATACTTACTCAGCATATAAGTAACCTCAAATGCTTTATTGATGGATAACTTGAAGTTGTGCATGTAACCACGGTTGAAAGGAATTAATTGACAAATGGACTTAGACCACTTTCAAAATAAACGGCTCATATGAAGTACTGTAGAACATTATTTCACAGTCACAGATAAGTGCATAGAGTTAAAACCCGTATATCAGAGTGGCAATATGTAATTTGAAAACTGTGCTTTCAAGAAAAGCTAGTCAAAAATAGAAATAAATTAAATTAGATGAAATTTATAACTAATTAAATACGACTAATTAATTTGTGAGTTACAACCCATTACTAGGTCTTCTCAAACCAAATTCATATTGGAATCAGTTTTTGTACATACAAAATCTTTTCCATCATCTTATTTAACTGGCTCTTTCCACATGATAAGCGTGCTGGGAAAGTATCAATCTGGGTTCCAAAAAGGTAAGTCAACAGTTACAAAATTTTCACTCTATTTGCTTTTTTTTAACTTTTCTCTTGCACTCTATTAGAGAAAATAAGGGAGTATCAGATTTCTACAGATAAAAATCTATAAGGATCTTTTTATAGATTTCCAACAGACTTGTGATTCAGTCAACAGGTATAAGACCTACAAAGTGATGAAGATATACTCTTCTAACTGGTTCATCTTGTAAGAATAATGACGTAGTGCAATATATACTTTGTAAGAATAAATGGGAAACTTTTGAGAGGATTTTCCACTGTACTAGGAGTCAGACAGAGGAATAGCCTTGCTTGCCTGGTATTTATCTCTCTCTCTCTTGAGGAAGATATTAGAGACTCAAGTAATAAGACATTCCTAACTTTCATAAATAAAACAATACAGATTCATGGATTTGCAAATGGCCTTCATCTTATTGAAAGATCTCTCAATACAGCAAGTTAGGCTTTCGATGCATTGGAAAATGACGCAGGACAATTAGAGCTCATGATAAATAGGATAAAACAAAATATATGAGCATTCAAGCATTCACGTGAAGATGATGAAAGACGTCTTTATGGAAAAGTATAGATTCCTAAGAATTCAATCTTTAATCTATCTAGGAACCCAAGTTAACTATCAAAATAATATGGAGGAAGAAATAAAGAGACAAATATTTCTAGCAAATCACACATATTTGTTCTTCATTGTGCTCCAAAAGCAGTGAAGGAGTAATGCATCTAAAAATGCAAAAACAAGAATTTATATGATACTTATCTGACCAGTCCTTACATATGGCCTGGAACGTTGGACAGTTACAAGATCTCAGGAACAAGTCCTCAAATTTGAGAGAAAGCTGCTGAGAAGGTATATGGTGGTTTATGAACAAAGCACTTGGAGAAGGAGGAATAATGATACAGAATTAAGAGTAATACATGAAAAACTAGATGTTTTTATTAAGTTTATGTATTTTATTAAGTTATCAAGGCGAAAGGGATGGCTAACAATCCAAGGTAGTGATGCCAACTAGATGTTAGAAACTGGAAGCAATAAGAAATAAAGAAGAATGGTGATGCATGATAGGAGAGGTTTTGACACAACAGCTGGAGCCTAACACCACCTAATAATAATATATAATAACATTAGAATCAATTCAATTAAAAACTGAATTTTTTAATCTGAACTAAATCAAAATTTAAACAATTTGAATTTAATTGAGAAGAATTTTTGATCGAATTAAATAAAAATAATTTACATGCACAGAGAGAGGTAATTTCACATTTTAAAATTATTATTAAAAAAATACTACCTTCACAAGCAGGGAAGTTGTAGAGACCCTCTTCACAAGAATCACACCGTTTTCCAACAATACCAGGCCGACACTTACACTGTGCATTATCGTCACAAGACATATAATTTCTGTAAGTTCCTTGTGTATCACAGTCACAGGCTAAAAGGAACATATAACTAAATCAATAAATTTCAACATGTTAGTACTGTCGATTATCATTTTCAATTTCAACTGACCATTATCATATAATTTAAATTCAATGCTTCTAATATATACTTTCAATAACAATTTAATATCTTTTCATCAACAATCCCTAATTTAAAAGGGAATTTCGAATTATCATAACACATCTATGAAACTTCAAAACTTTTTAAAATAGGTTATCAATTATATGAACAGTGGTTAAGTGAAATGTTTTTCTAAATAGTTATTTTATTGTTTGTTTTTGTTTTGTTTTGACAGAATGGGAAAAGGCAATATTTTTGTGGCCTATGGCTTTAATAATCGAATAATGAATTCAAGGATACAATAGAACTTCACAGGTTATAGTATTTTACTATTATGATTGTTTGATCATTGTTATGTCATCAAAATTATTAATAATTCCGTAATCTATTTCTTTTTACAAATTTTTTAGGGACATTAAAATAAGTGGTTCTTAAGGTAAGTGCAGGAAGTACACCACTTGGGTGCGACAAATTTTCAAATGATGATGTAAAATTAAATATTAAATAAATAATTGGCAAACATAAAAATTATATTGTTGTTTTATTATAGTTCTATTTTTCTTTTAATTTAGATTACTTATTATTTTTTTAAATAAAAAAAAATATATACAAAAGACCAAGTTAAGATTAATTAAAAAAAAAATAATCCGGCATAATGGGCACAGCAGACGACTTTCACTTACCACCCATATTTTAGGAGCAATAAGTATTTTCAGACAAAGAGAAAAGAAAGAAAAAACCACAGAGGGTACAAAATATTTTTGAATCAATCAATTACTATGTGTTTTTCACAGCCATCTAATGTAGTATTGTTACTTATGTTTTTTTTTTTGGTAATCATTGTCTTTAACGATTGTATGTTTTGGTTATTTATTTGATTATAATATATAATCAAGTGCCACGAAATATTTTCAGTCCAACATGAGTGCCTCTGATAATGAAGGCCGATAAATTTATATATATTTCATTGTAGGTATTTTTATTTGTTTAGGTATTGGTAAATATACATAAATTTTAATTTTTATATTGCTGTAATCTATGCAATTATATATTAAATAATATCAATACTAGCATGTATGAAAACCGCCCACGCTTATGTATAACAGCCTGTTAAAACCTTCTGTGCTGTGCATCTGGATTTTGTCAATTCTCTATTAATAATGAATTATATTAAGTCTTCTCCTTCAGATAATTATCAAATTCTTTAACGCAAGTAAAAGTAAAAATTATAATATAACTACATATTTTGATGTTTTATTTTTAAATACTTACGTAAACACTCAGGATATTTGTAGTACCCAAAAGCACATTGAGTGCAGGTTTTGCCAGAAAATCTATCAAGACAATCACATTTCCCAGAAACATCACAAACTGTTGTTGTACTACCTATCTCGCTGCAACCACAGGGCTGACAATCTGGGTAATCTTTGTATCCAGGTATACATTTGTCACACTTATCACCTCCAAAACCTTCTTTACACAAACATTGGCCAGAGCTTTTGTCACATATTTCCTCAACTGTGCCTCGAGGATCACATTTACAGACTATAAAATGAATAAATAAAACATATATTGCATACTCTAATTTAAATTATTATAATGAATCTTCTTAATATTTATTATGTTTTTATTGTAAATCATTACCTTTGGAAATATTACTTCAATGGAATAGAAAGAACAGTACTTACGTGTACATTGTGGAAAATCAAAGTATCCATGAGCACATTGGTCACATTTTGTACTTCCAAAGTTATTTTGACAATCACACTGTCCATTAGTTACATTACAAATTTCACTTGAAGAGCCCACAGGATCACAATTACATGCTAAAAAGAAAAAGTGAATATAATAAATAATATGTCAATAATTAGCTAAAATTCAAAATTTTAGTAAAAATATAAAAAGTAGAAATAATTCTAATATCAAAAAGCTACAGGTACGAAACAAGATTATAAAGTGACCTCAAAATAAAAATAAAAAATATGATAATAGTAATAATCTGGTACGGTGTGCAACATAATATTTATAACAAATCAATATATACCCAAGTAGAAGTCATCAAATTATTACCATATGTTTTTCCAAACCATTTGATCAACTAGGTTTGTGTATTTTCATCATTCTCAAGATGAAGTCTCTTATTCATATTATTACTTTTATTTATGGAAATTTGTTTTTAAGCTGGGAAAACATTTTCCCTTTTTTCATCATTAGTTAGATTATCAAATTTTTTCATCATAGTCTATATTTATCTATTTTTGATTGCTACTATTGGGTTGTCAGGAAAATTTAAAAAAAGGATTTAGAGTTTTTTTTTAAATATCCCTCTATATAACAAACTGTTTACATTTAATAGATTATTCATTTGTATGAATATCAACACTTATTAATCCTCTTCCAACTGATAATGTTAGTTTCTTTCTGTAGCATTTTGCTGCTTAGAAATAATTCAGTCTTTACTAAGATGTCAACGGGTGATTCGTGGCAGAAACATCAATCAAGTCAAGGCTGAGAGCAACATTAATAAGTGCACTGTTCAACAGTGGTTCAAAAATTTCAGGAGGGAGATTTCAGCCTTGAACACAAAGAAGGTCGTGGAAGGAATTCCTCTCTTAATAACGATGTTCTGTGGCTTTGGTGGAAGAAAACCCTAAAACAACTGTTCGAGAACTTGCAGAGAAACTTAATCTTAGCAAATCGACCGTCAATGACCATCTCAAGGCGATTGGAAAGGTAAAAAAGCTTGAAAGTTGAGTTCCACACACATTAAACGACTGCCAAAAAAACCAGCGTTATGAAGTTTGTGCTACATTCTTTGCCGAAACAAAACGACCTTTTCTGCCTAGAATTGTTATGATTGTGATGTTTGTTTAATTGTGATGAAAAGTGGATACTTTACGATAACAGTAGACGTTCTGAACAGTGGCTCAACAAAGGAGAAGCAGCAGAACATTTTCGAAAGCCCCAAACTCATCCAAAAAAGGTAATGGTTACTGTTTGGTGGGCTTCATTTGGTTTGATACACTACAACTTCTTAAATCCTGGAGAAAATATCAATGCTGAATTGTATTGTAACCAAATTAATGCAATGCATCAGAAATTGGCAATAATGAAGCCATCTTTGGTCAATCAGAAGGGGCTCATTTTTTTGCATGACAACACCCGGCCACATGTCTCACGTGTGACTTCACATAAATTGTTGGAGCTTGGAAAGGAAACTCTGCCACATCCACCCTACTCTCCAGATCTCTCACCTATGGATTATTTTTTTAAACACCTGGACCACTTGTTATGTGACAAACATTTTAATGAACAAAGGAAATTAGAAAATGCGTTTTTGGAGTTTATCAATTCTAAAGGTAGGAAATGCTATTCCGAGAGAATGGAAAAGTTGCCAACACCTTGGCAGAAATGTATTGATAGTAGTGGAGACTATTTTGATTAAATAAAACAGTTAAAAATCTTTCTTTTTTTCTTTTTAAACCGATATCCTGCATTATTTTCCGGGTAACACAATAAAAATTCAATATGGTAGATTATTTTAAAGATGCAATATTAAAGGCACTTCATAGGGCACTGCAATACAGCCATTTTAAAAATTTGGCATTTAAACCCTTTCAAACTAATTCAAATTAAACGAGCAATAATACTGTAAGATATAATATTTTACCATAAAACATGGTTACATTTTACCATTTTGGGAGGGGGAGGCTTCAGCCCGAAAGCCCCCTCCTCCCGTAAATCCGTCTGTGAATTTTAGTTTTACTTCTAAAACAATAAAATATATCAACTTATAGAAATGAATTGAAAAGGTTGAATTATAAAATATTTATGAAGATAAAACATAAATGAGTTTTTATAAAATGCTCTTTTTTTCAGAGCTATTTTCTAAAAAAAAAAGATTTCAAATAGAATAGAAGAAAAATCACTTTTTATAAATTACAATATGAAATCACTTTTATATACTTACATTCACATTCTGGAAAATTGTGATATCCTTCACGACAAATTTTACACTCTGGTCCAAAAAAATTTTGTTTACAGACACACGTAGAAACAGGACTTTCTGGTTCACAAACTCCTCCTTCAGTACCATGTATGAAGCAGGTGCAATTTTTACACTCTGGAAAGCCAAAGTAACCAAGAGCACAAGACTGACAATGGGGTGGTTGGTAATTGACTTTACATTCACAGATTCCAGTTCGATCAGCACAATTGCCAGTATAATAAGGTCCATCACACCTGCAACCTAATTAATTAGTTAATTACACTATTTGTTATAGTACATCATAAAATATTGTTATTCACTTAAACAGAAAACATTTTTAATTATCATAATAATTTTTATTTTTTGAATGTTACACCCTTTTTCCTTAATGACTATTGGGCAAGGAGGATGAAGAGATAAGGGTGCTGAGTGCAGCTGCTTAGCCCACTTACTCTTCAATTCATCTTAGCTAAGAAGTAAAAGGGTTGGGATCCCATATAAAAATGTTTCAACTTAAAAGCCATAAATTTAACATTGATTCTAAAGATTTGTTCGGTATTCTGACAAAACCAGCACAGATATACCAGTGTAGAAATGAATTTAAATTGGGTAAGCTTTAATTCATAATCTTAATTTATATAAAATTAAATTAAAAATCTGGTGTGGTGCGTGCATGACACAACTTTTACTTACAATCCTACTTTGCATAAAAGTAGATCTTTTAATCATTCGATCTTTTAGGCTCAAAACATGTAATTGAATAACGCACATTTAATAAAGTAATACTACTATAAAAATATTTAGGTGGTAGGAACTGAAAGTGAAAATCATAGATGGTATAACATATTATTTCAACAAAATAATTACTACATGTTTTTCTTATCTGATCTTCTAAATTTAGGTGTTTTCATTGCTAATCTTTTTATTTTATGATTGTATATTTTAATTATTTATTTAAGTTTAATAAATAATAAAGTTCCAAGAATTATTTTTAGTCTGACAAGAGTGTCAATAACAAGTTCCAATTATATCTATATTTCATTGAAGGTATTATTTTTGTTTTTTGTTTTTGTTAAATACAAATTTTAACTTTTATATTTCTGTAAAATATACAATTAAATATTAAATAATACTAGCAGTAGCATTTATGAAAACTGTACATGTATAAGTAAATAATATAATCAGAACTCGCTCGTTTACCAAGCTTGAGAGCGTGCTACTCTATCTTTGGCAGTTCTTTCTATCTTTAACACACACACACAGACCAATTTGCAAGACTCGGTTATTTAGACTCATGGGACCTCAAAACGTGTAATTCCGTAGAAAACTTAGATTCATAAATGTTCACGATCGCATACTTTCCCTTACTATATATTTCATATACAAGTAAGGAAAAGTAAAAAAGTAGGAAGCAGAATAGCCAGAATGTATTCAGAATACCAACTACCTGTGCTATACAAATCTTGACTTTGTACAATAAAATTTCTTGTAAGAGAAACTTGGTGGGTCATGTTAAGGAGTGAACTGTGATTTTACAGAATCTTCTTGTGTCTACTCAACTTCAAACAAATTAGTGCCTGATAATAGCCATGGGATAAAAAACACTTCTACCAGTACTTGGTCTTTGAACCTTTATGGGCTGCTTTGGGACTATTTTACTTAGTATTGTTAAATTAAATTTTTAAAACATAAAATGATTACTTACGTTCACAAGCATCTTTTTGTGTAGGTAGCCTTCCAAATGGCCTATAATATCCTGCCTTACATCTTTCACAGTTAATTCCTTCAGTGAAATCTTCACAATCTTGACAAACGCCACCACCTTCATATTTGCCATATTTGTCCAAAGATAGACCCAATGCATCAACTGTCTCATTGTATATACACTTGTAAGAATGACCATGACAATTACATTCTGTAATATGATAATTTAATTATATTATAAATCAATGAATAAAATAATGATACATATTGAAATGAAAATAATGAATGAAAAGTATTAATATAATACTGAACTACTATTAGTAAAAATCCATTAACCAAAAATCTCTTTATATTGAATTTTTATAGGAAACATTGAATATTTGTTATAAAATATTAACTATCTGAGTATTGAATTAAATTATAAAAATTGAAATTACATTTTTTTGAGTAAAATTTAAATTTGATATTTTTTTAGTGGCTTATTTTTACAAATATATTTTCAACTTTTAGTCCTACCATAATTAAGAGGGTATAGTCTTCACACGGAGCAGTCATACGGGGAAGTAGAGAGATTATATTAGATTATATTGGATTCAAGATTGAAGAGAAGCAGTATGGATTCAGGAGTCAAAGAAGCACACAGGATCTAGTTTTCACTATGCAACAAATCACAGAGAAGATTGTCGAGATAGGAAAGGAACTCTCAGTGTGCTTTGTAGATCTCTGCAAAACCTTTGACCGGATTAGGAAAAAGGATATAATTGAGGCTCTAGAGGAAAAATGTGTAAATAATGGACTTATAAGGGCCATAAGCAGTTTATACGGAAATACAAGGAATCTTGTTAGAACAAGAAGCCATACCTTTTGAGAGTTCAAAACAACACTGGGCATACGACAGGGGATGAGAAGGAATGCATAGGAATGTAGGATTGCACTATGAATTGTATTCAATTATGCAGTGGATAAGTTGTTTATGGAAAAGTATCAAATTAATTAACAAACGATGAAAGAGGACACTAGTTGAACAAAGAAAGGAATAAGCCTGAAAAGGGCCGATAGATGGCGGCAGCTGAAGAAGGATGCTGAGAAAAGAAAAGTCTGTATTCAGTGCCGGGATTTTGTTTTAAGAAAATTAAATTCACGAGTGTAAATAATCTAGTCTCCGGAGCGGAAGGAATATTTACAATTCCCACCAAAAGGAATATTTACAATTAATCCTTAAGAGGTTATTTACAGCGGCTGAATTCTGCGTTTCTTGGTTTTGATCCCACTTCACTCTTCACCCTCCCATTTTTTCTCTTTCTTGATCTACTCTTTACCAACTCAAAAATTTCCAGATCTGCTGGTTCTCCATCACGCAGTTCCTTCATTTGTCTAATTTCTTTAGAGGGCCGTCGTCTGCTGGTCGTTCCTCCTGTTTCTTCCTGGTCAGCTGGGCCATAACGCCAGGTACTGCTGTTTCTAATGTCTAAAATGTTTTTGGCAATCATTTTGCATACTTCTGGAGATGCTAATAAATCTTTAACCACATCTCGAACCATTCCAGGCACTTCCAAGGATTTACCCTTGATTTGGCAGTCCATGGTATTCACAGTATTCATTAAATGACCTACTTTTTCATTTATATACGTCTGGTTGGGTTTATTTAATTTTTTGGTATAAAGCTTAATTCCTAGTCTTATCTTTTGGGCTGCTTCAACCAAGATATCACCAGTTTTTCTATCTTTTACATTAAGCTAAGTTGCTTTGGAAGTTTCCTGAGTTACTGCAGTTTCTGAGGTCCCTGAGTTCTCAGGCATACTTCCCCTCGTTTACAACCACTCCAATAGAAATTGCTACGATAATATAATAAACTAAAAACAAAAAGGAAAAGGGAAAAGTCCTACCTCAATCAAGACCTTTGGTTTTGGTTTTCAACCGGTTTTGATTTAGGAGCGGCAATATTGCCGGTAATTTTTTTATCTTTCCGAATCACACAGCAATATACATTTCTATTGTAAGACCGTATACTAGGATAGTGTTAAACCACTTTCAAAACACCTGTCACCATTACGATAAGCAAAATTATCAGGATAATTTTTTTAAAAAAGTTTTTACAATTTTATAACCATATGTTATAAAATTGCAAAAGATCTCTTTTGCAAGTACAATTAAATAAATAAAATAAAATTCATTAGAAATAAACAATTTTTATTTTAAAAGTTATAAAAGACTTACCTTCGCATTCAAAGACCTGGTTTGATTTGGATTGCCTCCACTTCTTCTGAATCAAATTTTCCTTACAACGTTCACAAAAGTCACCAGTTGTATTATGTTTGCAATCACAAACTTTTTTATTAGTTCCTTCAACAGGTAAACAAACTTCAGCATGCCCATTACATCTGCATCGACCACCGATATTGATGTCACGAATAGAATAAAAATACTGGAAAACAATAAGACCATAATTTTCTAATGAATATGTATATTTATATAAAAAAAAAAATATATGAATTCTTTCCTATAATTTTTTTTTTGTTTAATTTCTTTAATTTAACTTCAATACTAATGTTATTAATTTTATCAAAAATATTTTCCTAACAAAAAATATATTTATTTTAAATAAACATATTACATAATAATTTATTTAATTGCTTTAGTCTAAATATTTAAATTAATATTTTGAATGAAGTCCTTTGTTTTTAATACCTTTTTAAGTCATTTAGCCAATGATGAAATTATCTTCGAATTGAACTGGAAAAGCATTTTCCCCCATTCTTTAAAAAATTTAGTTTTTAATTAGTTTAAAATATTTTAGTGATATATTTGCAATCCATAAATCTGGACTCTGAATAGGAGTTTCAGGTCCATTTAGATAATTAGATGTAATAACCATTCCCTTGTGTGGAGAGCATTGTGCAAAGGATTTTTATCCTGTTAAAATTTAAATAATCGTTCTAAAACCATTTTTAACACACTAGCTTTAAGAGTCTATGAAAATAACACCAAGAATAAATGAGAACTATTAAGAAAAATAATGGAACGTATACATTTTGGAAACTATTAAAACAATATAGAGTTAAAGCCACAGTGAATAAGAAAATTAAGTTGGCTTTTACCAAAGAGATTAAGAAAAAATTAAAGGTTAAAAAATGATGTAGTACATTCAGATGAGAATAAATTTAATATCGATAGGATGAAGGAAAGCCAGAAAGGAATTTGAGGAGAAACATTTTTCAGTAACAATGAAAGGTGGAGGTGGTAGTGTTCTTGTAAGTGTGTATGTGGAGTCAGGATCAAGAAGTATATGTTAAATGGTTAAAGTATAAAAGAAATGGAAAGAAAATTAAAGAGATGGTTATGACAAAAATGGGTAAAAAACGAACATTAAAATTTTAGCAGAACAATAACCGAACCCTGAAGCTTTCCACACATGGGAATGGCTGCTACATAATTATCCAAATGAACTTGGAACTTTTATTCTGAGTCCAAATTTAAATCTCAGCGAACATTTATGGATTAGTGTCGATTTTCAGTCCAGTAATGAAACTATAACATCAGTAAAATATCATAAAACTAAATTGTTGGAAGAATGGGGAAAAATATCTATCCAATTGAATTTGAAGATGACCTCATAAATGTTCATGAAAAATAAAGGACTCCATACAAAGTATTAATTTAAAAATTTGGATGAAAATAATTAAATAAATTATTATATATGTATATGTATGAAAACTTTTGCTGCATCGAAATTCTTGTTTTATACTTAAACATTAATTTAAAATATATGTATGTATTGCCAGACAAATATATTTGATAAAATTAATAACAGTGGTATTGAAGTTATACTTAAACAATTGATAAATAAATATGTAGGAAAGAATCGTTTACATTGATTTTTTTTTAATTTCAACTATTGTGTGTATGAAAAGGTTTGCTGACCACTGTATATATTAAAATAAGGGTGAAGTATCTTCCATTCGTCCATGTTTTGATTAATGAAATTCAATCTAAAGAGATCAATTTATTTGTCATTTTATTAAATGACATAAATAAAAATCTATATTTTTTTTATTGAAAATGAAAACATTATTATGTTTTCATTTTCAATAAATAAAATAAATTTAAAAGACACAATTTTATGATATAAATCTAACTTAAATAATTGGCTAAATATATAATCAATTCAATGAAATAATCTTACTCTTCTTGTTACAGAAGGATCCTGACGGGCAAAAGACATATAATGTGCAAAGAGAGTTTTTGTCTGTAAAAGCCTCAATCTCACATTAGTTGCCCGAGTCCATTCTTGAAGAACAGAAGAATTGAAGAAATCATTTGCAGAGGGTCGATCATTTAATAGTGATACAACTATCTAAAATTGATAAAATCATTTTTATAGCATATAATTTTTTGTAATGAAATAATAGAAGAATATATTCAAATTAAATAAATTTCATACCTCCCCATCTTCTAATGGTATAATTTTTGAATTTCGAGTATCACATATTACTGAGTCATCCCTAGTAATTGGTTCTAAACTTGCACTTCCAAAAAACCTTTCACAATCACTGAAAAATATATATAATTATAGTGGTTCCTACAACTCATAAAATGGGTATGTTTTATAGCAGTAAAGTAATAAGAAATGAACTAAAAAGAAATGTACTTGATAAAAATTAAATTAATTTAATAGTTGAAGTTTTATATTCAACTATTATGGAGTCGGTAATCAAAGGAACTTACGCCAGTGTATCAGCAAAGTATTGCCAGGGTGAATAAGTGGCACCATTATCAGAGGATTTTTCTAGTACCCACACTTCAGGTCTCGGGGAAATTCCCATTTTAAGTATCACATATGCTACATGAAATTCCTAAAAATAAAAATACATGAATCAATATTCAAAATTTAAAAGTAATATAAATAATGAAACATGAAATTAGAGCATTGATTTGAATTTATGAATGATTTCACTATATTTAATGCTTAACTATGTAACATTGACTGTAATAACTGATATTGAGATTTATCAACTTTATTGATTATCTTAATTATTGATTAAGAAATAGAAAATTCAAAAGATCTCTATCATTTAGCCTAAAATCAGGTTGCCTGTTGAATTGTTCTGCTTCAGGAATTTTTGACCATTTTTAGGATTAATAGGATCTTTTTTGGCAGATTCTTGGTTATGTGGTTAAAGAGCAGACACATCCAGCATCAATGTGGATATCATTTTGTTTTTTTTATCCCTATTAACATGCTTTCTTTCTGATTTCCATTGCTTATTCCTTTTCATGTAGGACAATATGCTTTGGCCAGAAATCTGGCATTAGTAAAAATTTATGAATTTCTAATGTTATCGGGAAAATATTTGAATACTTAAATATTCCCAGTAAAATTAGACAAAATATGTCTTCCTGTTATCTTTCTGCCCTTTTGCATATCTACAATTTTTCATTCCGAAATTCCAGTTTCCCATCTGCTTGGAAAAAGTCATTATTTCCATTCTTTATAATCTTTCAAAACCATTTGAAAGACTAGTCCATTCAAAGCTAAACACCTTCCTAGAGCAAAAAGCTCTCCTTAACCCTCTCCAATCAGGTTTCCAATCCAACTTTCCAAAATCTCTCCTTCTCGAATAATGTTTTAATGTGGTTTCATTCTTTCTTGTCTCATAGATCCCCAAACAGTGGTCATCCCAATAAGCAACTTCCGCATCTCTCTTATTAACTCGTGTTGCTCCTCAGAGATCTTCTTTTTCATCAACCCTTTTCCCCATTTATATCAACAATAGTTTATAATGTAATTATGAGTAAGCGTTCCATACTATGGGACAAGAGGAAAACATGCAGTACACTGCAGCAAGTGTGATTGTGTATGATCGACGATTTTTCTAATTATAGAATAAAATTTAGAATAGAAAATAATTTTATTCTGGAACAAAGTCCCTTTAAAATAACAAAAAAGTACAAAATTAAAGTATTATATCTGGCCTAAATAAAAACAAATATAAAAAGTAAAAATAAAGAGAAAAAAGTAAAGAAAATATTAGTTAAACATACTATGTACAAAATAAAAAAAATCTATATACAAAACACTTGAAACCATACCAAGACACTTAAAACTATATACAGTGGTAAAACATAAGTACAAACTTTAAAAAAAAATAAATAAAAAATATATTACATGCTTCTTAGCAATAAACCCTCTCTTTGCGCAGAAAAAAAAAAGAAAAGGAAGACGAATCTGATAGTAAGTATTTAAGTGATGACTTATATGTAAATATATCATTATCTGAATCATTTTGAATAATATGGAAATTTACATAAAAGGTTAGCGGGGGGAGGGGGGGGGTATCTGACTGTTTTTGGGATAGAAATTGGAATAGGAGCGTTTTAAATGTAGATAGGGATGGAGAATGGCGAATTTTGATAGGAACGGAATTCCAGAAATTAACAGAGCTAGCAATAAACGAGTTTTAGAAAGAGGCAAATCTGTGAGAAGGAATGTAAAGGTCAGAAGGTCGAGATCTTGTGAAAAAGGAGTGGACTAAAGACTTGAATTGGAGAAGGTTGTAGGCCTAAGAAGGACGATGATTGTTGATGATTTGATAGAGGAATGTACCTAGGAAATATTGTATTCGAATGGAGGGGAAGAGCCACTTTAACTCAGTGTAGTGGTGGGACACTTGGGAGTATCTCGGGGCACCAATTACAAATCTTACACAGCTGTTCATAAGTCTTTTCAGTCTATCACGTAGCTCCACCGATAGTCCATCATACACCATACAGCTATAGTCAAAGTGGGGGAAGATGGGAGAGGAAATCAAGAGTTTACGCGTATGTTGAGGTAGGAGATGGCGGAAGCGAAGGAATAGTTTGAGGGTAGAAATATGGTGATTCCAGGAGTGGGTTTAATCAATGAAAAATCCTAAATTTTTGACAAAGGAATAGAAGGAGATTGTCTGGTCATCAAGGTTTAGTATGGGAAAGTCAGAATAGGAACTAAGAAGGGGCTTGGAATCAATGACAATGGCCTGAGTTTTAGCCGCAATCAACCTTAATCCGTTTAAGTTTGCCCAGGAACTGGGTTTCAATCTAGGTGTTCTTGGATCATAGTAAATGCTTCCAAAAGCTCAGAGGGAGAAAAGGATAGATATATTTGAGAATCGTCTGCCTAAAGGTGGTGGGAACAATGGAGAATTGATTTATGTAGGTAGTTAATGTAGGAACTAAAAAGGAGAGGAGATACGCTAGATCCTTGGGCAACTCCAGAGGATAAAGTAAGGTAGGCAGATAGTGGTTGATTAGACATGGAGACTGCTTGGGTGCGTTGTGAGAGAAAAGATTGGAACCAAGAAATGGAGCTATTGGAGAAGGATAATGATTTTAGTTTGTTGAAAAGGTTGGGATGGTTAATGGAATCGAAGGCTTTGGAGAAGTCAAGGAGTATAAGGACGGTTAATTGTTTATTATCTATTGCAATCTGAACATCATTGGTAATTTTAATTAAGGCGGATTGTGTGGAGTAGTTGGGACGGAAACCAAATTGGAGAGGATCAAGTTGGTTGGACTTTTCAAGGAAATTGGAAATTTGGGATTGCACCAATCTTTCTAGGGGTTCAGAAAGAATTGAGATTAGGCGAAAATCTTCAGAGGAGGATGGATTAGGCTTTTTATTTAAAGGGAGGACAATGGCTTTTTCCAAGAATTAGGGCATATTGTAGGGAGAAATTGTAAATGAAAAAGAGAACTGGGAGGATTTCGGAAAGACATAATTTTATCAATTTGACAGGAATGCCATCTGGTCTTATGGAGTTGGTGTGGGATTTCATTACAGCGGTTAGTAGGTCAATGGGGAAAATGTCGGAGAAATAAAAGTCATCATCCTTGAATGATGACTCAGGAGCAAAGTTGGAAGAGGAGGGTAGAGAAGAAGTAGAGGAGGTAGAAATAAAATGTGAATTTAAGCCATCAGGTGAAATGGGAGAGACTATTGAGGAAGAGGATCTGGAAGGTTCACAGAAGGAAAGTTTGCGAAGGATTGATCATTTAGATTTGGGATCTGGAGCAGATGAAAGGGCTTCATGGAAGTAGGAAGCTTTAGTTCGCCGAATCCTTGTTTGTGTCAGGTTGATAGTCATCTGTAAGCCTAGTACGTCTAAAGCATCTACGGGCAGCATCACGCCTCTTCTGCAGATCCTTAATTTCTTGGCACATCCAAGGGGCAGGCAGACGACGAAAGTTGAGGTTTTTATGGGAGCATGGGTGTTAAGGATACTGAGGAGATTGGAAGTCAGGATCTCAACCATGGAGTCGATGGAGGAGCAGGAATATATTCCATTCAAGTCTAAGGTTTCTAGGCCAGGTAATATTTTTTCACGGATGAGAGTCTCTAACTGACGGAAAGTGGAGGTTCTCGGATGAATCAGAGGAGTTTTGATATTATATGTTATTATTGTCGTGATACCATAAGAAGGATACTGGTAGTTGAGAATAGGAGAGGAGATTTTGTTCGGAGTCTATAATGAAGAAATCTAACCAAGTGTCGGCCTTGCAGGTGCGGTGAGTAGGGTAAAAAGGAACAATAAAGAGATGAAGGAGAAAAATAGGTTTTCTAGATAGGTTTTGTCTTTAGAATTAGAAAGAAAATTGGTATTGAGGTCACCGGCGATGATTATTCTAGGATAAAGAGGAACAAAGTTGAGTAGGGTTGATTCTAAGGACGTATCAAATGGAACAAGGGGAGGACGATAGATCACTGTGTAAAGGAGAGGGAAATTATTATAGGTAATTTCTACAAGTAGGTACTCCACTTGTGGATGTTCAGAGGGTGGGGAGCAATCAAGGATTCGGGACTTCAGGATATTATATACAAATATTGCTATCCCACCACCAATCCAGCTGCCCCGGTCGTGACGGATGAGGGTGTAGTTAAGTAAGGAGACAGACGAGGACGGAATATATGGTTTGAGCCAGGTTTCTGAGAGTGCGATAATGTGAAAAAAGTTTTGAGAAAAGTACTGTAGGAATTCATCATAATGAGCGGGAATGGATAGCGAATTAACGTGACAGGTCGTTAGGATACTAGACATGGGGACACTAGCGGATCCAGGATTTAATTTTGGGGGGGCTTCAACCCGAAAGTTTTTTTTTCATAAAAATAACGATAATTACTTTGAAAAATAAGAAAGAAACTAAGTACCTATATGAACTAGTGTTTAAGTGATTCCTAAAGCCCTTTTAAATGTAATTACATGAATAATTACACTTTAAGAGACAGTTTTTTTATATTTTTTTCGATAAAACATGGTTATATTTTACCATTTTTGGGGGGGGGGAGGCTTCAGCCGAAAGCCCCCCCCCGTAGATCCGCCCGTGCATGGGGAGGATTTGGTGGGAAACAGTCACTAATTAGCATAGAGGGAATGAAGCATATATCATATTCTGAAAGATATTTAAAATAAGTATTAATAAGGAAAATAAAAGTAAACATTGAAAAAACGAGGGAGGAACAAGAGTAAGAAAATAAACAAATTAGGAGGCAAGAGCTATGCGGTCAAGATCCGATGCCTGATTAATTACTTGATGGCCGTCGTCCTTTTGTTTATACCTTCGTTTTCTCTGTTTAAAACAATAAAGAAGTTAGCAATAAAATATCTTGGGAGTGGGAGGAATATGTTCTTGGGCCATCGACCTTGGGAGGGTTAACTTCTTCCTTTAACCCCTATGCACATTTAAGCTTGGAATTGCAATCTTGGTCCATCTAGCCCACTGGTTTCCAAAATGTCCATAACTGACACAATTCAAATATCACATACTAAAAACCGGGTAAATCAAATTAAAATGAAAATCAGATAGGATACTAGTATGT